CTTCTTTAAATGTTTTTGTTTATTTTTTAGAGAGAGAGAGGAAGAGAGAGAGAATGAATGAACAGGGGAGGGGCAGAGAGAGAGGGAGACACAGAATCTGAGGCAGGATCCAGGCTCTGAGAACCAGACAGCACAGAGCCCAGACTCCGGGCTCAAACTCATGAACTGCGAGTTCATGACCTGATCGGAAGTCGAATGCTTAACCAACTGAGCCACCCGAGCGCCTCTCTTTCCACCTCTTCTAAAAGCAAAGCTATTCATGTCAAAGAACCACTGAGTCATGGGAGAGGCAAAGATCGCATCTTACATGCGATCATGTAAGATGTTATCTGTCTTTTTGAATTTTATTGAGAAAAAATTTTTAAGTGTTTTTATTTTATTTTGAGAGAGAGCAAGAGTGAGAGCGAGAGCGAGAGCGAGAGCGAGAGCTAGAGAGAGAGAGAGAGAGAGAGAGAAGGGAAGGGGGAGAGAGGGAGAATCCCAAACAGGCTCTGCGCTATCCGGCTGTCAGCCTGGAACCCGATGTTGGGCGAATTTTTTTTTTTAAGTGCAGTTTTAAAGTAGCCCACCTCTTCCCCATCACTGACTCAGCAGAAACACACTACATTCAAGGCCGTTGCAAACCAAGCTTTAACTCTATGTCCTTCTGTCTCAGCCATGCACCATTCTTTTTTTTTTTTTCAATGTTTGTTTATTTTTGAGAGACAGAGACAGAGCGTGAGCAGGGGAGGGGCAGAGAGAGAGGGAGACACAGAATCTGAAGCAGGCTCTGGGCTCTGAGCTGTCAGCACAGAGCCGGATGTGGGGCTTGAACCCACAAACCGTGAGATCATGACCTGAGCCAAAGTCAGACGTTTAACTGACTGAGCCACCCTGGTGCCCCGGCCATGATGCATCATTCACAACATGACTGAGCAGTCAAGGCATATTCTGATTGTCCTAATATTTAGTATTATTAAAATAAAAGCAATATACTTTTCATTTCAATCGCTCTCATCTCATCTCGTTTTATTCTTGGGACAACTTGTGAGTTCCCCAAAGTCCATGTTTTCTATATTTTTGTGCAGGTCAGTGTTTCTCTTACCCATCACCCCTCTGCCCTCTCTTCCCATGATATTCCATATACGGAGTACCCTTTGTCCTAGGTCAATTTACTCTCTTTTTGAAAACTTAAATAGCTATTTTTAGAAAGGTAATCTTATACAAAAATAGAAGCACAGTCATCTGCTATAAATAGAAGGAAACAGTAAAAATATTCCTAAAACGATTAGTATTTTGTATTGCCCACACACCACTCAAAATACCCCCAAAGGTGTCCGTCACCACCGTGTTATAGGCTGCACACCTTGGGAACTCTTGGGTCGAGAAGTGCATGTGAAGCTGTGTGGCTTCTGTCTGTCCCACTCTCTGGGCCTGCTGTTGGGGTACAGGACTGAAAAAGCAAGGGCTCTCTGAGACCCATGCAAGCGGAATAAAAAGGAGAGTAGCGGGATCCTTTGGTCTGAAGCTGAAGCCAGAAGGGAATGGAGAGGGGGTTGGACAGCCACTGTCCCAGCAGAGAGCAGGGCTCCTGGCCCTTCAAGACAGGCTGGCTTCCAACTCACCTGTCACATGTTATCTTAGTAACGGGCTCTAGATATACATTGGCCTCTGTAAATGTCACAGCCTTCCAGGGCCTCAGAAGAGTTTAAAATTGTTCTTTCCAATCAGTGGCCATCTGGGAAGATTTTTGGTTTTTCTGGCTTGAGTTCTTGGAAGCTGCCCTTTTCTCTCTCTCCTTCAGATAAACTTTCAGCTTGAGATCACTTCATAATTGAGTCATCTTGTACTTTGTGATATGATGGCTCTCCAAATCATCCTTCCTGTCCTTGACGGCATGCACAGGAGAGAGCATGGGCTTCAGACTGACAGCTTGAATCTAGGTTCTGTCACTTATTACCCAGGCAGTACCGGGTACCACGCTCTGGGCGGGGGGGGGGGGGGGGGGGGGGGAAGCGAAAATGGATACTTCTCTCCTTCTCTCAGTTTAGTGGAAAAGACAGGGAGATAAATAAATATGGTGACACAGTAGAATAAGTGCTAAGATAGGAATAAACACAAGCTGTTATTAGAAAACAGAAAAGTACACCCAGCTAATCCAGGGAACACCAGGGAAGTCTTCCTGGAGGAGGTGACACTTGAGTTAGACCTTGAAGGAGGAATAAAAACTTAATAGAAATGGAGGGGTGAGCAAATCATCCTGGAACAGAGGACAGCAAGGGTGGGGTGGGGGTAGGCTGAGTACCTGAAATGGTCCTCACAGGCTTACAGTCAGGATGAAATGAGTTCATGTATGGAATTTGCCTAATGCTATTCAGGATACATGATATGTGTCTGACATGTTCATTTGAACCCCTTTGCTACTCCTCCGTGGACCCCTGGAATGTGGTTCATCCTCAGCTGCACTACTGAACTTTTTATAACGTTTATTTATTTTTGAGAGAGAGAGAGAGAGAGAGAGAGAGAGAGCACGAATAGGAGAAAGGCAGAGAGGGTGAACAGAATGCGAAGCAGGCTCCGATATGTCAGCACAGAACCTGACGCGGGGCTCGAACTCACGAGCTGTGAGATCATGACCTGAGCCGAAGCCGGGTGCTTAGCTGACTGAGCCACCCAGGTGCTCTGTCAACTGAGCTACTTAGAACAGGGTGATTGGGATTTATCTGTTCGTGAGACGTGTGTCCCTGATCAATGCAGACTCCCTGTGTCGGACAGCAGGAGGGTCAGAGCTTCTTTGGATGTGGGACTGACTATTCTCTCCACAGAGGGACCTCAGGCTTGTTAGCAGAAGCTCAAGAGAAACTCTAGGCTGACATTTTTTTCCGGTGGAGTCTTTATGTTTAAGAGTAGTTGCACCGAGAAAACATGAAGTCAAGAAAGTATATCCACCCCTGTGTTCATTGCAGCATTATTTACAATCCCCAAGATGTGGGGGTAACCGAGCTGTCACCATGAAGGGGATAAAAGTGGTATCTGTGATGGAATGTTATTCTGCCATCGGAAAGAGTGAAATCTCATTGTCTGTGATAATACGGACGGACCTTGGGGGATTATGCCCAAGTGAAGTAAGTCAGACAGAGGAAGCCAGATCATGTATGATCTCACTTATGTGGAATCTAGTAACAATAATTAAAGAACACTGAGCTCATAGCTCCAGAGAACAGATTGGTGGTTGCCAGAGGTAGGGTTCGGGTGGGACAAATGGATCAAAGCAGTGAAAAGCTACAAACTTCTAGTAACATAAATAAGTCCTGGGATGTAATGTACAGCATGGTGACTCTTGTTAATAATACTGAACTGTATATTCAAAAGTTGCTGGGAGTAGATCTTAAAGGTTCTCATCACAAGAAAAAGAATTTCTGGGGCGCCTGGGTGGCTTAGTTGGTTGAGCATCTGACTGACTCAGGTCATGATCTCACAGTTCATGAGTTCGAGCCCCGAGCCAGGTTCTGTGCTGACAGCTCAGAGCTTGGAGCCTGTTTGGGATTCTGTGTCCCTCACCCCCCCCGTCCCTCCCCTACTTGTACTTTGTCTCTGTCTCTCAAAAATAAACAAAACGTTAAAAAAAACAAAAAAAATTCCTATCTGTGTGTGGTGACGGATGTTAACTAGTCTTATTAGTGGTGATCATTTTGCAGTATAAACAAATTATGTTTATGTCACATTATGTTACACCACTGAAACTAATATAATGTTGCGTGTCAATTATATCTCAGTAATGAAACAATAATTCTCCATTTATAATTCTGACGTGCTCTGCTTCCCCCCAGCATTCAAAGGGGGCACATCCCCCCCCCCGTATCTTTCTCCTAACACTACCCTTCATGGCCCCTCATATCTCCCAAGGCTTTGGAAAGCATCCTGAATGTAGAAGATACTCAAGAGATACTCCTTGAGTGAACAGTGATAGAGCAAGGAAGTAGCTCTGTGACACAGGGTGAGCTCCTCTATCATTTTTCCAGTCTCTTCTTTGCTGCTACGGATTCCGAGGTGTATAGCTCCTCTCTTAGGGTGAGAATGTTCTGTGCTGGGCGCCTGAGATGACAGTAGGGCACCCTCTTTCTCTGTCATCATGAGCTGTGACTGACCGTAAGGGAGCTTGCTGTCAACTCAACCTGGGAAAAATGGTACCAGATATCCACGTGCCCAGGGGCTGTTCCGTGGACCCCTGGGACCACAGCTCCCTGTGCCTCGAGGTAGGAAAGTATGGACCTGACTGTACTTGCCTTCCGGGGCTCCTGTGGCCACGAGGCCACGCGCATCCATCCTTAGTCTTCTTCCCGGGCTATAGAGATAGGCAGGGCAAGAACTTCATGAGCACAAAGCTGCAAAAGATACAGGCAGTCAAGGGCATGACAGTGGCGTCTGCTGTCCCATTGTCATGGTGGAGTGTGACCCCTGATGGCAGGGATGGTGTTCTCTTGGGCTCTGAATCCCCAGTGCCTGGAATAGTACCTGCACCTTAGTCAGTGTTCACTGCACGTGAGTGAACAAAAGTCTCCTGACTGGCAGGCTCAGCCCTGCCCCGACTCTCAGAGCAACAGGAGTGTGAAGCCGGGAATTCGGGAGCAGCTGGGCACCTGTTCGCTTTACCTCCACATGGGGGTTTGGAGTTGACTCACCTTCCCTGGCTGGCTGGCCCCAGCTGCCGTTTCCCAGGCCTGGGAGCTCATGGGCTGTGCCTTTTGTGGCTCTGGCTATGGATGTGACACAGTCCAAGGTAGATTCCAGGCAGGCAGCAGCGAAGTAAACCGTGGATGGGAGTTCTGTCCTAGAGAAGGCCTTCTCCCTCTTTCTTCTTCATTTGCCTTTATTCTACCCACTCAGTAGGGGCGTGAGCACCTGGGGTTCACAGATATGCAGTGGGGCTGGAAGGAAGCAAGATGGGGGTGGGCTCTGTCCTCATGGCGGCCATCTCTGTGCCCCCCAGTCTGCCATCACCTATGTTCTTCTCCTTACAGGCTCGCCCAGCCACTCCGGCTCCACGTCCATGAGCCCGTCGGCAGCCTTGTCCACAGGGAAGCCAATGGACAGCCACCCCAACTACACGGACACCCCAGTGAGTGCCCCACGGACTCTGAGCGCAGTGGGGACCCCCCTCAATGCCCTGGGCTCTCCATATCGAGTCATCACCTCTGCCATGGGCCCACCCTCAGGAGCACTGGCAGCGCCTGCAGGAATCAATCTGGTTGCCCCACCCAGCTCTCAGGTAGGTGCCCAGCCTCCAGTGGGACTTTCCAGCCACCTTATATAGTGTCACCCATGCCAGTCCTGGAGCCGAGCTAGCATTCGGTGGGTGCTTCATGTGTACTTTCTGGGTCGTCTCTGCAGACGTGTCTCCTGCAGGACCTTCATTAAGGGTGTCCTTAGGCAGGACAGCCCCTGAGAACTGATGAGGCCTCATGGTCAAGGGAACTGTGGCCTAAAGGCCACCCCTGTGGCTTAATGGTTCAGCCCTGGCGCTGATCTCACCATTTCTGAGGGCCGTTTGTCATCCTTGGGACAGACCCCATCTGTTCTTCTCAATCCAATAATGAGTGTTTATCAAGTCAGTGAAGTGCCTGGTGCTCTGTTCCATGCCTTGGGGGGACACGGAAATGCTCTCCTGTGAGAGCAGTCTTTGCTCTCCAGGAGCTTATAGTTGAGAGGGGAAATGGGCAGGGATGGCACGCGGATAGATAAATCCAGAACACAGCAGACTGTGTTATCTACATGTTGTCTCTGAGATAGAGGAAACTACTGGAAACTCAGGAAGGAAGGAAGCCACACCCAATTCCTAGCGCTTCTGCCACAACAGAGGAGAGGAGGCGTGTGCATGGTGGACACTGCTGTGGGGTGGCCAGTTGCCTCTCACTTCCTTCTAGCAGGGTCACAGTGAGCTCATCAACCTTCCCTTCTTGTAATGGTCAGCTGTTGCTGCAATGATGCTGTGTAACAAACAGTCCCCAAATTGTCACGGTGCACAAACACACACCTTTTTGTTGTTGTTGTTCCTCACTCACAAATTGATGTTGGCTGGGATGGCTCTGCTTCAGATGGTGGGAGCTGGGCTAGGCTGCAGGCTGGTTGTAAGCCTGCTCCTCGTGTCCCAGGCTAAAGGAGCTACTTGGGGCATGCTTTTCTCGCGGTGTCTCACAGGAATGCAAAATCAAAACAAAATCAGAAAGGTACAGCGAAGTCTTTGCCCACATTGTGCCCTCTTGCATCCCCTTGGGATAGAAACTGTGGCTGACAGAGTCGCAGGGCAGGGAAATAGGTTGCGCCTGTTTTAACAGGAGGTACTACAGGACACAGTGCCAAGGCTGTGAAGAATTAGGAGCAAGAATCCCATCCACCATGTTCTCCACTTACGGGCATCTCCTTTTTGGGCTGGCGCCATCTTGCTCCAACCGCCAGCACAACTAGAGGCAGAATCAGTAGGTCCTGAAGCTTCCTTGGGATTTGTAGTTTTGGAGAGGAGGCAGGACTCCTCTGGGAGTTGGGTCAGTCTTTCTACCACAGAGAGAACTTCGAGACTGCCTCTAGACCATCCCTTTCAAGAGGCTCCATGTGCTTAAGGTCTGAAAGCAAAGCCATGTGGAGTCACAGAACTCTAGGGCGAGTAACAGCTCCAGAAAACTATCGATCCAGGGATTCAAGAATCTGGAGAAGACCTTGGGGATCATTGAGTATGGGATTGCAAGAGCGAGGGCCAGGTGCACATAGGTCAGCGGGGCGGGTGGGGTCTACAGGGAGCTGCCCTCTTCCATTGAAGCCATTCCAATTCAGAGATGTGACGCTTGCACAGGCCAAGCAAAGTACTTCTGTGGGTCACATCTGGCTGGCCCTTTGCCCCCCAATTTGTCATCTGATGGTTTCACCTATAGGATCTTCTTCTGAGTGTATGTTTCTCCTCTATCCCATAGCTTGGCCCTTGGGGAGCTGGTAAAAGCCCAGCTGAGAACCACTAATTCTGTCTAAGCCCCCACCCCACAAATGAAGTAACAGAGCTCAGCTCAAGTGACGCGCCCAGCCTCTCACAGCCAGTCAATGGCAGAGCACGGGTTCAAGCCCAGGTGCCATGACCCCCCCCCCCACCGCTCTGTGTTCATGATATTGCATTCACCTGCCACTGTGGTGTGTGCTGACTAAATCTGTGACCCTGAGATCTTCTGTTGGCTGCCAAGCATTAAAAGGTGGCCCAGTTGGTTAAGTTTCCAACTCTTGATGTCGGCTCAGGTCACAATCTCTCAGTTCTTGAGTTCGAGCCCCGCATCGGGCTCTATACCAACAGCGCAGACCCTACCTGGGATTCTGTCTCTCTCTGCCCCTCCTTTGCTCACTTGCTCTTTCTCTCTCTCAAAACAAACAAATAAATAAATTTCTTTAAAAGATAAAAGATGACTAATCAGCGCTCCTATGGTGTCTCATATGGAATGTGGCACATCATGCGGGTAAATTTCAAGGCAGTGTCCCCTGGGCTAAGGCAGGTGCAAGGGCAGAACTGAAGGAGCAGAACAAAGGGACTCCTGAGCCTCCCAGGTGTGTGTTCCAGGAGAGAAGTGGGGACGAGACGGCCGTGGGGGATGGGCAGGTATTTACGCCACTCTCACCTACTGTGGCCAGCAATGCTGGTGACATGTAGCCTTCAGAATGTGAGGCTCTGAAGAGATTGCTTTATTCATGTTCTGCCTGGTGAATGGACCCCAGGAAGGCAGGTCGTAGCCAGTAGGCTAGAGACAGAAGGACACGTTGAAGTTCTGGGTGAAAAGGAAACTCTTGCACGGGCGTTCATGCTCACTCACATAACTACTCATGAGGACTGACTGTGTGCCTGGCGGTACTTGACGCTATCGTAGGTTCTAGGGAAAAGCACAGAACAAGGCGGCTAACGTCTTTACTTTCACGGCAGCAGGCAAGACCAAGACCAAACAAACACACGTGATAGTTTCACGGAGCAATCGTTCTATCTGCGAAGAAGTGAGGCAGGGTGAGGTGATAGACAGTGACAGGGCCTGTGGGTGGGGAGTGGGCAAGGCACCATCCTTCAAGGCTGCTTTTAGCAACCATGCTCCGGTCTGATTGAGCCAAACCTAGACACGTTCAGCTCCACAGCCGTGCGAGCGTCAGGGCCGCTCGCTATTCCTGGACTGTATGTCTGTACAGAGGGATTGGGGTTGAAAGGTCAGCTGAAAGCTCTGGTCCTGGCCAACTGGGCTGTGTGCACAGGCCGAGGCCAAGTTTCACTCCGGGAGCTATATTAAGCTTGCCAAGCTCTGGGGGAGCTCAGCAGCCCTGGGACACTGAACAGTGTCGTGGGCTCAGGCTCTGGACACGGCAGACACATTCTGCCTAATCAACCGGATGACTCAGGACATCTAGACCCCTAGGTGTTAGCTGCAGTGAGTTGGACTCTGAACCATCTGGATAGACTGTCTATGCATCCCGCCTTCCTCTCCCAGGATGGGTCTGAGTGGGGCTCGCACGGGAAACATGTTCCTCCTGTGACCTGGGTCTAGGGTAAGTACAGTTGGGGGGGAGGGGAAGGGGCTGCTCTGGTGTGGAAGCAGCAGACAGCGTCTCCCCTTCCCTGCCCTGTCGCTCTGGTGTTTGAACTTTTCTTTCTGCTCTTGTTGGGTTTTCATTTGTGAGGAGTAAAGAGAACTGAATGGATACTATGGAGGTGGGGACTGTATAACCTTTTGCAAACCACTTAAACTTACATCTATCTCAGTTCCCTTTTCTCTTTTTCGAGGTAACACACTTTTCCCTTGGCTACCCTACAGTGGTATTTATGAATGTTACAGGGGCTATGGATCTGAAAAATCACTTCTTAAGTGCTCTATGGCAGTAAAGTGGCATTATTATTATAATTATTATTATTATTAATTATACCTAGGTGATATTTTGCACCTCAGTGATTTACATTCTACCCCTATGGGATCTTTGATTTCAAGGTACTTTCTTGCTGAGAGGTTCTAGAAAAGTTCATTTCAATAAGCATTCATTGAACCAGGCCCTGGAAGTAAAAAAAAAAAAAAAAAATTATAAGGCTCCGTCTCTGCTGTGGGGTCCCCGGCTGGGTCAGTCAGCAGAGTGCACCACTCTTGATCTCTGGGTTGTGAGTTTGAGCCCCACGTGGGGTGTAAAGATTACTTAAATAAATAAAACTAAAAAAAAAAAAAAAAAGGAAAAAGAATCAGGCCCTGCTCTGGGGAGTATTTCAGTCAAGGGAGCAATTTCCAGAAACACTAACTATGTAGTTGGGAAGATATTTATGTGGCTTTCAGACAAAATGATTGAGGCCACATTTTCCTGATTCTGTGTGTGTGTGTGTGTGTGTGTGTGTGTGTGTGTGTGAGAGAGAGAGACATCTGCTGCCTACACTTGGACGCAAGCCCTGAAAGTCCTTCGAAGGCCCCCACCTCTTTCTCAGACTTGGGTTCTGTCCCTGATAATTCCTGTCCCTGTAGTGATTGATAACTGAATCACTTTCCTCTCAGATTTTTTATAGAGAATACTTAAATAATAAAAATTACAAATGTTAGAGTTGGAACAGACCTTAAAGTTGTCTTGTTTAATGATTTAAAAAAATTAAGCCATGAAGTCGTTTCTTCAATAGAAAGCATGTTTGGAAAGCTAATGTTTTCTTTTCTTTTCTTTTTTTTCAAGTTTGTTTATTTATTTTGAGAGAGAGAAAAAACATGAATGGGGGAAGGGCAGAGAGAGAGAATGAGAGGGGAGAGAGAGAGAGAGAGAGAGAGAGGGGGAGAGAGAGAGAGAGAGAGAGAGCGCGAATCCCAAGCAGGCTCCACACTGTCAGTGCAGAGCCCGATGTGAGGCTCAAACTCACTAACTCTGAGGTCATGACCTGGGCCTGCCGGCCCCTGAACCGACTGAGCACCCCCAGGTGCCCCTAATGTGCATGTTAAATTCGAACAGGTATGGGTGACCTGGGGCGGGGGAACCGAAGCCTTCTTATTCACCGCCCCCACCCTCCCCCAACCCTGCTGCCATGCCGCACGCACACACTCTGAGTCGGAAAGACCACCGATCTAGTCTGTAGATGAGGTGATGGGGTCTCTAACACAGTGACCTGGTCAGGACCACGCGATGAGCAGGTGGCTGGTCTCCACCAAACCCAGGGCTCCTCTCTGTCCGGTAGCAGGTGCGTCCTCCTTACTCATCGTGATAAGATTTCCACTGGATTAAAGGAGCACCGGGTGCCTGGGTGGCTCAGTCGGTTAAGCATCTGACTTCAGCTCAGGTCACGATCTTGGGGTTTGTGAGTTTGAGCCCCGCGTTGGGCTCTGTGCTGACAGCCTGGAGCCTGCTTCAGATTCTGTGTCTCCCCCTCTCTCCCTGCCCATGCTCTGTCTCTCTCTGTCTCTCAATAATAAATATAAAATAAAGAAGCGTCCCCCGTACAGAGTTGGCTCCCTGGGAAAAGTGCCTGTCCGTGACCTGGCACGCCGGCCACATATCTGCATTGAGTGGGATAATTTTGGCTGAGAGCAGCTCAGAAATGTGGGGCCTGATGTTCCGGGATGGCTCCAGAGCACCCAGAAAGCATCTGGTCCCGGGCTGAGAGTCTGCAAATGGAAGCCAGGCCAGTCAAGTGTGCTTCTACCCTGTTCTCGAGGAGCAGCCAAGCCGCCTGGTGAATCCCGGCTCTAAAGTGCTCACTTCTGTGGAGTGGCTTCTAATGCAACCAGACAGCCCGGCGGGGGGCCTCGGGGGGCCAGGCAGCTAATGGGTTTGCACGCTGGCAGGGGCCGTCCGTCCCGCCTACACTTGCCCCCCAAGCCAGCGAAGAGGCCGGTGACGAAGGCTGGTAATATCAGTCTTTCTGTCCCCCCCCCCCCCGCTGCTTCCCCTGACCCAGGAAGAGAAGGGGTGGAGAGGGGCTGCTGGCTCCCAGAGGGGAGAGACTGGGCTCCTCACCAAGGAGGGGGGCCAGGAGGCTGAGAGGCTCTGAGGGTCGCCTGCCACAGCCGGACAGACTTTGTGGAAAGGGGAGTGACCCGGGAGCCCAGTGCTGGAGCTCTGGCCGGCGAGCCCGGCACCTAATCCCCCAGGGCAGCTCGGTAGGCCTGGGGCGGCTCCCCCCCAGGCTCGCCTGGTGCTGCCCCTCATTGACCTCTCCGAGGCAGGGTTTCCAGAGCAGGGTTCCTCGGCCCAGAACCTCCCATGGCTGCTCGTAATTGCTTCTCAAGGTTAGATCCACTCTCCTTAGCTGGGCAGTCAGGCCCCAGGCTCTGCCACCGCCTGGGCCCCAGCCCGGCCTCCCACCCGTGCACCCCACGGGAACCCCGGGGCTTCCCCTCAGGCCTTTGCTCTCAGACCCTTTAGCATATGACAGCCCACCCAAATCTTACCCACTTTTAAAGGAGGTCAATGGGGCGCCTGGGTGGCTCAGTCAGTTAATCGTCCGACTTCGCTCAGGTCATGATCTCGCAGTTTGTGGGTTCAAGCCCCGCATCGGGCTCTGTGCTGACAGCTCAGAGCCTGGAGCCTGTTTCAGATTCTGTATCTCCCTCTCTCTCTGACCCTCCCCTGCTCACACTGTCTCCCTCTCTCTCTCAGAAATAAATAAAACATTTAAAAAATTAAAAAAAAAAATAAAGGCGGTCAAGTCCTAGCAAGGCCACAACCTTCAGGAAGTCTTCCCCACATCTCCGTTGCTCGGGGTCTTGCCTTCCTAAACCGTCCCAGCTGACTTTTAATCTCGTCCATGGCCAGTTATTTGAGGTGGTCCCGGCATCTTCCTCCTTTCGGGATCCCCACGGTGTTTCTGAACAGACACGCAAATAAGCCGCTCGAGGGCCCAGTGTCCTCACCTAGAAGATAGAATGATGCCCTGGGGTTGTTGTGAGGACTAAGAGAGCAGGGAGAGGCCGGGTGAGCTTTCTGTGGACAGTAGGGCTACTGTTCGGTGACCGCTGTGGGCCAGACGGAGCCAGTGAGGCTGGTTCCAAGGGCCTGTGGCTGTGGGAGGAGAAGGTGAGCGAGCGCCTCCTGAGCCTCAGGTGACGGTGGCCTCCTCATGCCCACGCCCGTTCTTCTGCATCTGAGGATTTGGGGACACAGGCTTCTCAGGCAGCCAAAATGCTTCCTAACATGTCTCCATTGCATGGGTGGGTCTGAGTGGTTAGTATCCGTGTCAGTGAAGCACTCAAGAAAAGTTGTTGCCTTGGATTTACATCAACAGAAACCCCCTCAACTGATTTCTTAAAAATCAAGACACATCGGAATATGTCTCTTACCTGAAGTAACGATAATGTAGTATAATGACAGCATTAAATATTAATTTTCTGACCAACCTGAAATGGAATCATTTAACCCCTTTGGTGAACATGGCCTTATTTACTACAGAATTCCTAATACCTAGTAAGCCGTTGGCTTATAATAAACACTAGAATTCTTGTCTTGACCAACCAGATTTTATGGGAATGATAAGGACCACAATCGTTAGACCCCTGTTGTGTGCCAGGCACTGTGATGGGGATTCTACATCATTATCTCATCGAATCCTCCTGGTGACTATGTAAACTAGGTCTTACTAGGCTCGTTTTCCAGATAAAGAAACTGAGGGCAGAAGAAGACTAGTAACTTCTTTCAAGTCATGCAGCCAATAAGGGCAGCCTGCGAGTGAGTCCCAGCTCGGTGGGACCCCCAAGCCATGTTTTCCCCACCATACCAGTGATTCTGCGCCCTGGCTGCCCATTAGCATTACCCAGGAAGCCTGAAGAGAGGTCAGTACCAATGGCCGTTGGACCCATTCACTCACAAAATTTCTGGGTGTGGAGCCCTGGCGTCAGTTTTTGTTCCAAGCCCTCATGTGTACATCCAGGGTTGAGAACCACCACATGACACCAAAACAAGCCAAATACTGGATACAAGTTCTAGATGTCCTGTCTTAGCCTTGTATAGAAAGGGGGGAGGGGAGAGGAAGAGAGAGAGTTCTCCTGTCCCGTGTGTGTTTTCATCCTTCATACAAATTAATTTTTAAAAATTCCTGGTGACTTTGACTTCAGAGCAAGAAGCCGAAGGCTGTCTTGTCTTTTCTGCATCCCATATAGCACTTGACCCAAGCTTTTGCCCACCCCCTGTGCTCAATAAATATTTGCTTAGTGGATTGAAAAGCTGGTAAATTTAAAAGGAACCTAACTCAGGCTGTGTTGTGTTTTATGTTTTATTGATTACTCCTTCTGTCCCAAAGGTCTTGAATAGAGAAACAAATCCTACCTATGGTTTAGTTTGGGAATTACAGTCACTTCGGTGAGACAGTATGATTCAAAATTCACGGGGACCATACAGAAGTCTGGAATCTCTCTTAAACTCCCAGATCCGTACCAGGTGCCTCTGCTGGACATTTAAACATACTCCCCACCACCTTTGTTTGTGTTTATTTAACTAAGTGTTTTTCGTTTTTGCACATGCCCTGACTCTTCATGAGAATGTGCAGTTATGAGGCAGTGCTTAGACTGTTGAGCTGTGCGCATGGACACTGAGAATTTCTGCTAATTGGATGACCTAGTCATGTTCATTTAAGATTTCTTTGATGAATTCAGAACACTTAGCAGCTTCGTGGTGATCTCCCAGACACTGGGGGACTTGGCGGTGGTGGTGGTAGTGAGGAGCTAATGTGAACATGTGGTAAAGGACGGGGGGATAGGAGGCACATAAAATTCATTTCTTCAGCCGTCCAAACACACCGCCTCCCCATCCCGCATGCTGGGACCACGTCAGCCACAGGGAGGACATAGCAGCCCGTCTCTGACTGTGTGGATTTTCCAGTTTCACAGGAAAATGATCTGTTTCATACATTCAGGTTCAAAGCCACCAGCTGGGGCTTTCTGCCCAACTTTTTTGATGCTACTGGAATAATTTGGACATTTGGCTTGGCATCTCTGTGGATTCCTTTAGATGACCACTACTCATATCTTCTCTTCTGTTCTATGGTAAACTCTTTAAGAGTATGCGTTTCTTTAAAAAAAATTTTATTTTTTTAAGAGTGTACATTTTTAGACCTTCCCTCTGTACCCCAGCGCCTGGCACAGCGCCTGCATGGTGAGTACTCAGTGAGTGTCTGTTGATTGACTAAATGAATGGATTTGCGTTTTATTCTTGGTTTCTTGGAGTCTGAGACTTTTTTTTTTTTTTTTTTTTTTGCCTCAGAGCCATAGCCCCTCTTGGAGCACTGATGGATAGACAACCAGTAGTCTTACAGAATCTAAAAACACACAGCTGGTCTTGTCCTAAGCGTGTCTGAAGTGCGTCCCGGGTGGATTTCTAGCTCTAACGAAACACATGAGTAAAATGAGAAAAAGCCGAGCACTCGATAATGTGCTGTGATTTTCAACTGAGGTTTTGGTGTCTAGAAATGACTTGGCTCCTCTGTGCCCCTTTTTCCCTTCCCTCCCTTAAATTCATATCCCCCACGGGCAGTTTTGGATACTCTGTAGTTGGAAACTGCTTCTTGAAATAGAACTTGTTTCCCAACCCCCCCGCCCCCCCACCCTGCGAGGATACCCCTGTTGCTTTTGGTCTCAGGCATTGGGGCTGCCCTGGCTCTGTGTTTTATTGCATGTTTTCTCTTGCAGCTAAATGTGGCCAACAGCGTCAGCATTTCAGAGGACATCAAGCCCTTACCCGGGCTTCCTGGGATTGGAAACATGAACTACCCGTCGACCAGCCCCGGGTCTCTGGTTAAACACATCTGTGCCATCTGCGGAGACAGATCCTCAGGTACATGTGGCAGCAGACGTCACTCTCAGGTGTGGGGATCCCAGAGATGGTGCCCTGCTCCACTGCCCGCCTGGTGCTTTGTACCCAGTGGGGGATAAAAAGGGCCTTTTCCATTGGTCCAGCTCAGGGCCCAGGCTATACATTTCTGTCACTGGGTTCATAGCCTGAAATCTGGATGAATTTAAAGTTTGATTTAGGTTTTAAGGGTTGGGTTTACAGGAAGCCCCTCTGTGGAGCTACCGTGTGGCATGTGTATCTGGGACAGAGAAGCTGTGCTGATTAGCAGGTGTCTCTTTAATTGTTTTTATTTTATTTTTTATTTTTTAATGTTTATTTTTATTTGAGAGAGAGAGAGAGAATGAGTGGGGCAGAGGCAGAGAGAGAGGGAGACACAGAATCTGAAGCAGGCTCCTGGCTCCGAACTGTCAGCACAGAGCCCACTGCTGGGCTCCAACTCAGGAACTGTGTGATCATGACCTTGGCTGAAGTCGGACACTTACCTGACTGAGCCACCCAGACGCCCCTCTTTAATTGTTTTTAAATGTTTATTTATTTATATTTAGAGAGAGGGGGAAGGGGCAGAGAGTGAGGAGAGAGAAAATCCCAGTCTACTCCCTGTCAGCACAGAGCCTGACTCAGGGCTCGAACCCATGAACCACGAAATCATGAACTGAGACAAAAATCAAGAGTCGGACACTTAACCACCTGAACCACCCAGGTGCGCCTCCCTCCACATAATCTTTATGTCATAAGCCTGCATCTGTAGAGATCAAATACTAATTTATTCCTCCAACAGGCAGTAGCATTTAGAAAATCTGTAACTCCAGTTCCTCATCTATGGTGAAGGAGAATACTTTTCAGTGGGGCTCCCATGTCCTGGGGCCTCAATTATGGGGAAATATTGGGAAAGCTGAGGTTTTCTCTCCCCTACTAGATAATACATAACAAGCATAAATATTTTTATTTATTATGTATACTAATGTCTTGAATTGAGACAGAACGTTTTGCTTAACTAAACACAAGAGTTGCCTTAATAAAATCAATGTAAACAAAATCTTGGGTCAGGACTTTTCTAATGATGCTCTCTGGAAGTAGCCATTCCAGAGAATGCCTTCCAGCAAGAAGACACGAGGAAGGGCATATTTACTCTGCCTTAGTTTTGTTCCTGGTATCAAGCCTGCGTTCCGGGCTGGTTACTCTTTGCTGTCCCTCCTGGTATGTTAGGTGATGTGTGTGTGTGTGTGTGTCGGGGGGGGGTGGTGGTGTGGGAAGAGCCTAGGGGCTTTTTTGAATGAAAGTTCCAAGTAAACACAAAGACAGTCTCTGCTACATTCATTTTCTCTTTCCCCGTGAGCAGGAAAGCACTATGGTGTGTACAGTTGTGAAGGCTGCAAAGGGTTCTTCAAGAGAACCATCCGGAAAGACCTCATGTACACCTGCCGGGATAATAAAGACTGCCTCATTGACAAGCGCCAGCGGAATCGCTGTCAGTACTGCCGCTACCAGAAGTGCCTGGTGATGGGCATGAAGAGGGAAGGTGAGGTCCCGGTCCCCTCGCGGGAGACTGGTTTGCGTACAAATCACGGTATAAATCCTCACAAGTTCTCGAGGACCGTGGCTGAGTGTCCCCTGCCTGGGCAGCGTGCACCCCAGAGCACAGAGAACAGCATCACTCCCTCCTCCTCCACGTTCATCCATCCTGCTCTGGAGCTCGGGGGATGGTCCCCCAACCGGACCTTCTACCTGGCTCTTCCAAGTGCCTGGAAGCCAGTCTTCGAGTTGGTCTCTGGGTTCTAGATGGAGTGTCAGTGCCTTTTTTGGGAGGAGCTGGCTTCTCGCCTCTAATCCTCCCTGGGGAAGGCTGCTGGAACCCTCTCTCTAGGCTTTTATAACCTGGGGCTGCTACAGATCCTCTGAGATAGGTGTACCCCGCGGTCTTCAGGGGTTGTTGGCATTGCCAGTAATCAGACTCAGCCTCCTCATTCAGAGAGACCAGCATTTGTACATTTTTGCCTTCTCAGTTTACAGTGCGGCTTAGCTGGGCTGGTATGGAGTGAAAAAAAAAATCTGCAAGTGCTTTCTGTTCATTTAGAGAATCGAAAAGTCTTTCTGTTACATAATGGAAAGAAATCGAATTGGGCAGTTGATTAACACATGAACTCAAGGAAGTACACAGCGTACATGGTGATCTTACTAGATTTCAGAGTGAAGAAGTCCTTTCTCTGTCTAGGAAATGGGAACAAGGCATTTAGTCAGTCGTAGGAGTCTCCTCATTCTTGAAGAGCTTCTTTTCTCTGAGGAGAGGGAAGCTGACTGAAAGGGTCAACAAAGAGAAGGTTCTTTGAGCCCCTTCTAGGAGAGAATGCTACCAAGAAGGAAAGAAGTGACAGGCTTAGCATGTCTGAAGTAGATGGAGGGGGCCCTTCAGTATAATTAATAGCGCTCATTGTTCTATACCAGAGGAAAACAGTGTGGACTGGGGAGATGAGTTTGCCAAGGTCCCAGAGGTAGGTGATTAGCCTGAGGGGTCTTTGTACTCCCAGATCAGAGCCCATCTTGAGTCTCCCCTCCTCACAGGGTGCAGAGGGGCTCTGGAATGAAGATGGCCCTCACTCTGTTGTGTGACAGCAATCTCAAGTGAGCGGACCCAAACCTGGGCTCCTAATAATCTGCGCTCTTCAGCTGTTTGTCTCTCAGTCCTCTCCATTTTAGGAAATAGCCATTTTTTTCAGTTGCTCAGATGAAAAACCAAGGGACTCCTTTTTCTTCCATGTGGGTGAGGAAACCTTGTCTCTTCTTCAAAATATGTACAGAATCTCACCATGTCTCATGACTCTAATGCGACCAGCATAACCCACACCATTGTTACCTTCTGTATTTATCTACACAGGCTCCTAAGAACCCTCCTCCCCATATCCATCTTTGTCTCCCTACATTCTTCAGAGCAACCAATGAGGCTTTGAACAAGTGGGTCAGGTCAAGCTCTTCCTGCGTCAGAACCTTCCAATGCCTTCCCTTCTTACTCAGAAGAAAGGCAAAACCTTGGTTATGACTTCAAGGTTTTACATGGTCTGACTGTCCCTGTCTCTCTGGTCCCACCTTGCTGGCCTCCAGGGATGCTCCTTCTCAAGGAGCTTTGCACTTACAGCCTCTCTGCTTTGAATGTCTTCTTCCCAGGTACCTTCATGACTCCCTTCTCTACCTCCGGACCTTTACTCCATTGTCACCTGTCTAGAATTGCATCAGCCACCCAGGACACTTCCTAGTCCCTTTCCTGCAGTGGTATCACTGTCTAACATGCTTACTTATTTAGTCTACTCTGTTTCCACCAAGGCAAGATTTTTTTCTGCTTCTCCCCCGACTGCTCTATCACCAGGGATCAGCACAGAGGAGGCACTTAATACATAATTGCTGAATGAATGGTTGTGTACTTTAAACTGAATATTGGAATCAAAAGTTTTAGTAACGCAGGAGCTTTTAAAAGGACTCATCCCTCCATCATCCATCCATCCATCCATCCATCCATCCATCCATCCATCCAGTATTAACTGAGAGTGCCTGCTTCATGCTCATGTCATCCTTACTGTCAAGGAGTCAATGATCTTACAGTTCAGAACACATGATGAGAAAAATCAGCTGGTGGAGGCCGTCTTCTTTTCACCAAGTTAGAATTGATAGTCCTCATAGCTTCTGCCACCATGATGGTCAAACATAAAGTTAATGACCCCAAAGAACGTCTTGCATCAGCAAGAGTTTGTTTACTGCAGGGGTCATTTTTGCCTCTCAGGACAGATAAGTTTCAGGTTGACATGGAAAAATAATAATTTTCCTGATGCTGATGAGATTGAGTTAAAGGAAGGTGAAAGTCTTCAGTCAGAGAAGCCACCAATTCTCTTGCTTCACAATCTGTCTCTCAAAACTCAGTCTTGGCAGCCCGCAGCTCTGTACGGTCAGATTGGTTGGTACACAGGTCCCATGGCGGGAAGTGTGTCTCTTCCATTAAAGAAAAAGCAAGTCAGAGAGGAATATGTGAGTTTTAAGGGCCTGGGCAGTCCTTCCCTTAAACTTAGCATTATTCTGATTCTTTAATGGGTAGGTTTCTAGTTTTGGCTTCTCCATTTTTGAGAAGAATGTGGAGAAATGAGGAGTGATGAAAAGCTGAGTAGTAAAATGTAGGAGGGGAAAGGGACTCCTAGAGAAATTTCTGAAGGAATTGGTACTATTTACCCTGATGAAGAGAAGGCAAAGGGGTGAATCAATTCCTCATCCTACTGTACGAAGGGCCACTTTCAGAAAGCTATCTGACAGCCTTTCCTTCACCCCTATCATTTCTGACCTCAATTTACAGAACTGGGGGCTCAAGTTGGACACTGCCTTGAAGACAAGAATAATAAAATTCTAGAACAGTTAGTTGAGAGAAACTATTGAATTTATACTCCTGGAGAATCAGACGGGTAGAAAAAGATGGAAGTATCTTCCGGGAGCCAGCGGTCAGGGCCCATTGCCTTTTTATACATAATGGGGAAGCTGGAATGGACACTGCTATTCTCTGATGTAACACCTTTGTTTCCTCAAAGAAGAAACACAGATTCTAAGAGTCTGGGGTCCTGCCTCAGCTTCTCTGGTGAGCTAGTGGCAGTCCTGATACGGGACTGGAGCCCTCTGACTTCCAGGTTACCAAACAATCCTCAGGCATCTTAGCAGAAGTCTATTTCCAAGCTATCTGGTCATTTAATATTGTTTGGAAAGATAATGGACTATTTTTGAGGCACTTAGTGGGTAGTATTTGATATCCTTATGAGCCCTGTCTGGTCTTTAATAGTACCACTAACCCAGATTCTTGGAGGTGGTATGGGGCAGGGGATGGGGGAGGTGGGGAGAGGTGGCCTCAGAAGGCCATCAGCCTAGGTCTACATGTTGGTGCCATCTTTTCTTAGCTCTGTGACCTCTGGCAGGTTACGTAACTGCTCTGTGGCTCACAGTCCTTGAGAGGGTGATTATGGGGATTAAATGAAATATCTGTATAAAGTGTTGAGCATAATTCCTGACAGAGAAGAAAATTCAATAAATGTTGGCTATTGTAGAGCATGTACAATACATACACGTTGGGCTAATGGATAAAGTTCTGTCGCAAGGCAGGGATTGGGTACCATGTTAGATCACCCAGCATCCCCTGGATATGCCCTGAAGTACGTTGTAGTGCAGGCTCAGAATGGCTGCCACGTTGTAGGTTTCTTCACGTTGTAGGTTTCTTCCAGCACGAGATATATGACTCCTCTTCTAGGACAGTAAGATTTACGGCACAGAGTGGAGAGGGGAAGAGCAAAGGATCTCTCGGTTAATGGCAAGATTGGAATTAGAATCTAATTCCCAGAAGCCAAGGTGATTTTCTTTGAAGCTTGAAGGTTACTCTCCTTCCCGTGTTGCAAATCTGTAGAAGAAATCAATTGAGAACCACAGGAGGAACTTCGCTGAGTTTGCTTTTACCTCGTCTTTTAAAATCAAGATGAAGAGAAGGCTACTAACCTACCTTAAAGAAATTAATACCAGAAGCATTCAACTTTAACCAGTAAATCCAGCTGACAATAAAAATACATATGCATTTGTATGCTTTCAGTAAATGAACACTAACAGAGTGGACAGGAAGGAAGGGTGAGAGAGGAAGAGAAACTAGGAAATGGAGGGAACATCCAAAGAGGAGACAGAGAGAGGAACAGAGAGACATCCAAGAGCACAAAGGCAGACAAAGGGAAGGGAAAACAGCTACCTTTTTTTTTTTTTTTGGAACTTTTGGTAATTATTTCATTTAATCCTCACTTAACAGTCTCAGTCAAGTATGATATTCCTCACTTCATATTAGGGAAACTGAGGCTTAGCAGGCTGAATAATTTGTCCGATGTCCTTTAACTAAGAAGTGGTAGAAACCATTTTGCAAAAGGCTTCTTGGATTCCAAAGTGCATGACTTATGCTCTTTTCTTTCCTATTTTCTCTTCATTCTCTCTCTTCTGTTTCTTCTTTTTGTCACTTCCCTCCTTTATTCTCTCTTCCATTTCTCCCTTCACTCTTTCCCACCCGCCCTCCCTCCCTCCGTCCCAGCCACCGAGTATCATTCTCATCTTGAGGCACTTTGGTGTGTCCCTACGGGAGACTTTGGAGTGTTAGTTGTGTTTTTGTGGTCACAACCTTCTCTGACCTACCTTGAAAGGTCACTGATACCACTTGCATGACAAACCGGATGTCCAGCATCTGGTTCCAGCTCATTCCACAGACTTTGTGCCTCGTTATTCCCTCAGAGAGTAGGAAGCGCCATTGGGGGTGGACCCCAGGGGAGGAAAGGACAGAAACTGAGGGGTAGAAGTTGGTAGAAAAGTAGCTATCACTGAGTTCCAGATTAGACACATGCTTCAAGTATAATTTTATTGATTCTTGGGATTAAAAAAAAGTGTACCAATATTGAATTTTGCTCCTTAATGCTGGGAATAGGAAGATGGAAACCACAGCTTTGTAGATTATGGAAACTAACCCAACAGAGAATGTTTGTCAGTGAAGAGGACAGCATTGGAAAGGGGGTCTGCCTGGCATCCTAAGGCATGGACGGTTAGGGCTCTGAGGGTTAGAATGAACTTTGGTAAAAGACCCTAAGTTTGGGGAGGCTGAGATGAGCCCGCACCTCTGCCTGTCTACCCTTCCCCACCCCCCAAACCTGCCGCCGATTCTGAAATGTCATCTAGGTGACATTCCTCCACCTCTTCACTTACTAAATAACCTCATGGCTCCCTGAAGATCTCCCCTGACAAGTCGGATCAGGTGATGTTGTGTTCAGGCTGGTGCATTAGGGGCAGACCTAATGGGACGTGAATGCCAGGGCTGATGCACAGGACTTGAGAGAGCGAGTTTTCCAAGTAATGTCCTTGCCACTTAACTACTGCATGCCCGCAGCTTCTTAGAGGTAACAGGTAGAGGTAAAATTCAGGAAACTGAAGAGAGACCAAGAACGTGGCTCATTAAAAGAGAGGGCAGAATCAGAGGTTATTAAAATTTTAAATGCAGAATTTAATTTAGACTGGTCACTACAATGAACTGGAAAGGATGCAGAGCTCAAACCCCACATGTCTGCACATGCATAAGCCAATCACTCTGCTTCCTCTGTTTTGTCTGTCAACATCACAGCACCTCTGGTCCGGGACCACGAGGATGCCCATGTTACAGATGAGGAAACGGAAGCTCCAGTAGGTAACTCGCTTTTGCACAGTTGTCCTGGGTACGTGGTAACATCTGCATGTCCCCCCTGTGCCAGCTGTGCAAGAAGAAAGGCAGAGGAGCCGGGAGCGGGCCGAGAGTGAGGCGGAATGTGCCAGCAGTGGCCATGAAGATATGCCTGTGGAGAGGATTCTAGAAGCCGAGCTTGCTGTTGAACCAAAGACGGAGTCCTATGGTGACATGAATATGGAGAACTCGGTAAGCCGTCTTAGAACTCCACCTACCTCCCACTTCTCTCTTGGGTGGAGATGGGCGAGCGGTGGATGAGAGTCCTGGAATGTGCCACTCACAGGACCTTGGGTTTGCTTTTAGACAAACGACCCTGTCACAAACATCTGCCATGCCGCTGACAAGCAGCTCTTCACGCTTGTTGAATGGGCCAAGCGCATCCCCCACTTCTCTGACCTCACCTTGGAGGATCAGGTCATTCTGCTCCGGGCAGGTAAAGGAGAGTCGGACTCGGGTTTCCTTGGGCCAATCGCTTGGGGTGCCATTTTGAAATTACCTTTGGGGTCCTAGGACAAGTCACCCAATGAGACTGTACCCATCAAGCTGTGTGCCCCGTTGATGACAGGATAACTCCACCCAGGGTTATTCTTTATATAACTTCCGGTGGCCCTCCCCCAAAACTTTTATTCCCAAATGAAACATTGTTAATGGACAGTGAGACTCTTTCTCCGTGTAAGTTTTACCGTGGTTTTAGAATTTGCATTTAATTTTCCAATACAGTTAAGTCATTTTTATTGAGGACAGTCTGAAGCAGTGTTATAAAATTGGAAAATAGAGGTTTTCTCATTTCACAGGTGAGATAAGAGAAGCCAAAGATCTCTTTTTGCTCAAGCTTATTTATCCAGGACCCCTTCCTTTTTTTTTTTTTTTTTTAAGTTTATTTATTTGGAGAGAAAGCGTGAGCAAGGGAGGGGCAGAGAGAGAGAGAGAGAGGGAGACACAGAATCGGAAGCAGGCTCCAGGCTCTGAGCTGTCAGTACAGAGCCCAATGTGGGGCTCAAACCCACAAGCTATGAGATCATGACCTGAGCCGAAGTCGGATGCTTAACCAGCTGAGCCACCCAGGCGCCCCCAGAGTCCCTTCCTATTTTCAGATTCTGTGTGCTATATTCTCTCTTGGCTTCCATTTCTGGGACATTGTGCAGCTGACATATACCTCCTCTCTCCTCTGCCACTGAGCCAGCAGGGAAATTCCATAAAGATTGACTGAGCATTGGAAGCCAGTCCCCTCATTTCATCCCTGTTAGATAATGAAGCGTTTGAGTGTTGACTGAAAGTGGCATGCTGTGCTAGGTGCTGCTAGCAGCGTTAAGGGAATAAAGCCGGGCTGTCAGGTCCTGAGGGCAGAGGCTGCAAGGTGTCCTTGCTTTATCTACCGTGGCAGCTAACATGTTGACTATTCCCTGTTAAATCTTTAAACCGTATTTGTTAATTGACTGGGGGTGGGATGGGGAAGTGTCCTTATCCTCAAGCTGCCATTCTGAGCTGTCCTGGGGACACTCTGGGGGACATACAGAGCCATGAGTCAGGGGACCCCCCATCTCATCCTGTTTCTTCACTCATCAGCTGTATTATTGTCTGCAGCTGGTGTTTAACCTCCTTGGATTTCTGTTTATGCTTTCATTACATGAGGGCAACAAGACATGCCTGGGGTGGTTGTTGATGAAGCCAGAACACAACCAGTTTCCCCTCAAAGCCTCCTTTTTCTCCTTGCAGGGTGGAATGAACTGCTAATTGCCTCCTTCTCCCACCGCTCGGTCTCCGTGCAGGACGGCATTCTCCTGGCCACGGGCTTACACGTGCACCGGAGCAGCGCCCACAGCGCGGGGGTTGGCTCTATCTTTGACAGGTGGCTGTCTTCTGCTTCCGTGCGTGTGCACATGTGTGTGCATGCGTGCGTGCGGATACATGTGTGCATGCGGGCGTGTGGACCTGTGGGCAGTGCTGGGGTGTGGGATGGACCACCCACACCGCTGCGCGGGGCAAGAAGCAGAGACCCCGGAACACAGAGGAACATAAACCAGGAAAGCAGAGGCAGATTACAAGAGAGGTTGAAATGATGAGATGGAGATGGAGCCAGTTAGGGGCCAGCACGGTTTTGGGGCAGAAGAGAGAACCAGTTACCTCTATGGGTTTCCAAAGAAGGGACTGGACCATTGGCATTACCCAGGGGGGTTGGAGCGGGGAGGTTGAACTGCTTGTCCCAGGGGGGTGGGATAGAGACAAGCAGCCAGGATCAGACGTCCAGAGTCAGGAAAGCTGAGCTGAGGCTTCTGCTGGGCGCTGTAGCTGGTCTCTGGGGAGGGTGTGCCGCAGGAGCCGACCCACCCGGGTCAGGCAGCAGGAGCCCCAGTCTGGGATTCTGTGCCTTAAGTGGCGTGGAAGGAAAATGAAGGCATGTGATTTAAAGAGATGAATGGAATGAGTAGGGGCGAATGATGTGGGGCAAGGGGATGGGGGTAAAGATGAGGATAGTGTTGAAAATAGCCTCCATGCCCAGGGCCAAGGTCCCCTGGCCCCTCTCCACCCCCCATCGTAAATGGATCCAGGCCACGTGCATGTCCACCCTATGCCCTCCCTGCCCTTTCCCACAACGCATTCCATGCAGAGGATGACATGGGCTTTGGTTGACTCCGCCCCCTTCATGGTCCCTGGAGATTTCTACCCTCTCTCTGGAGGCTGCCCTCTGCTCTTCCTCTAGGCATGCACACCCTCGCCCTGCTTTGCCTGTTGCATTTCTACTAATTTCTAACTCCCCTAGGCCGCCTTTCCAGCCCTGCCCTCCCCCCAGTCCCCAGAGATGCCCGCTTCCTCCTCCGTGTCCCCTTGGACTTTGCTCACGGCTTTGTGTTGCTGCGTGTTGTTTCCATGTCTGTTTCTTTAATTAAACCATGAGCTCCTTGAGCTCGGGGACGGCATCCTCTTCATCTCTGTGTCCCTAGTACCTGCCGCATAGTCGGGAAAACGGGGTGGGTCCATAAGAAATACCGGTTGCGGTCATTTTATCTGCCCTTGGCCTGGTACCCAAGGTTTTCTCATCACCTGTCATTGCTTCCTGTGAACAGAGTCCTGACTGAGCTGGTGTCCAAAATGAAAGACATGCAGATGGACAAGTCAGAGCTGGGGTGCCTGCGAGCCATCGTGCTGTTCAACCCAGGTGACCGGGCGGCGGTTTGCCCTCCTCCGTGCTCCCACGCTCCGTGCTCCCACGCCCTACAGCCCCCTAGCTCAGCTGAGACGGAGAAGGCAGGGCCGGGAAACCTGTCCTTGCAAGGGCGGAGAGTCGATTCTTCGTGGTTTCTACTCCGAGGGCCGTCTTGCAGGCATCTTGAGTGGGCGTGGAGTGTGCATATGTGGAGACAAGAGGGGAAGATGACAGTCGCCTGGGGTCACGGTGAAGGAGGTGGTAGGAAGTGTCAGATTTTGCATATAGTTTAGGCAAAGCCAGTGGGGTTTGCTGATGGATTAGAGATAGAGTGCGCAGGAGAGGTGTTAAATATAATTCTCAGGGGGTTTTGTTTCCTTTTCCTGAGTGATTGGGAAAATGGAGTTTTATTCGCTGACATGGGGTTCTAAGGGTAGGTGGGTAGGAATTAGGATTTTGTCTTTGGACACTAAAATCTCAGATATGTGACAATGTGGATGGAGCTAGGGTGTATTATGCTAAGCAAAATAAGTCAGTCAGGGAAAGACAGATATCGTATGATTTCACTCTTATGTGGAACTTAAGAAATAAAGCAGATGAACATAGGGAAAGGGAAGCAAAAATAAGATCAACACAGAGAGGGAGGTAAACCATAAAAGACTCTTAAATACAGAGAAGAAACTGAGGGCTGCTGGTGGGGTGTTGGGTAGGGGGATGGGCTACATGGGTAACGAGCATTAAGGAGGGCATTTGTTGGGATGCACACTGGGTGTTTTTAAATTAAGGGAAAAAAAATCTCAGGGGCGCCTGGGTGGCTCGGTAGGTTAAGCATCTGACTTCAGCTCAGGTCATGATCTCATGGTTTGTAGGTTCGAGCCCCGCGTCAGGCTCTGTGCTGACCGCTCAGAACCTGGAGCCTGCTTCTGATTTTGTGCCTCCCTGTCTCTCTGCCCCTCCCCTGCTGGTGCTTGCTGTCTCTGTCTCTCTCAAAAATAAACATTAAAAAAAACCTGTTACTTAAAAAGCATCTCAGGTGGATAGTAGACATCTAAGAGTAGCTGGCCAGGAAGCTAGTGTTCGTGAGTCTGGGATTCAAAGAAGTCAGGACTGGAGATGTGCATTCGAGAGCTGTCCGCCTCCACCGGGCACGTGAGGCTCTGAGACAGGTGTGAGCTCATGTAGCGGGTCGATAAAGTTGGGCAGAGAAGGGGACTGGGCAGAGATGGGCACTGGGGTATGCCCTCACATACCGGCAAGGGAGAAAAAAGAAGAGCCAGCAAAGGAGGCTGAGAAGGGCAGTGAGGGGCAGGGAGAGAAGCAGAGGAGTGATGTCCTGGTGGCCCAGGGAAGAAGAGCAATTCAAGAAGGAGGAAGGGATTAGCTTCATCACGTGCTGCTGGGGGTCAGAAAAGACGACCGGTCAGAATTACGTGGTAATTTATGCACAGGCTTCATCCCATGAATCAGGGATAGTTAGCTGATGCAGCCTGTGAGTGGATCTGACTTTTGTACGTCATCTCGTCCTTCAGTCTGTGCTGAGCACACGAGAGGCACTCAGTAAATGTGTGAATGTCGTCTTTCTAGAATGAGCGGATAAAGTAAAACTCTCCTCCTTGGAGTCAATAGTGGCTGCCTTTGGCTATGAATAGGGTTGTAAGCATTTGCTCCAGGAGTCTATTGGGTGGACTGGGCACAGAGAGGGAGTGCTGGGGGGCCCAGGGGACCAGCCTTGTGTCTTTCACTGTCGTTCCCCATCCAGTGTGTCCCTACTGACTCTTGGGGCAGAGGCCAGAGTGAACGGGGACAGCCTCTATGGAAGGGTGTCCACCCAAGATGTGTCACCAGAGGCTAAATCAGTCATCTTTTTCAGATGCCAAGGGCCTGTCCAACCCCTCGGAGGTAGAGACCCTGCGAGAGAAGGTTTATGCCACCCTCGAGGCCTACACAAAGCAGAAGTATCCGGAGCAACCTGGCAGGTGAGAGAGCGCGCGAGGAATCTAATGGCCGCTGCGAGGCTTCCTGTTCGCCCTGCCTGTGTGGCATCATGCAGCAGGTGCCATCTAGGGTTTTCAGATGGCCTTTCGTCTTTCTAACAAGCCGAAAGCTGCTTCAACATTTCTCCGTTCACCAATCCCCGCTGCAGTGTTAGAGCCTGAAGCAGTGCCTGGCACATAGTGTAGAGGTGTAAATGTTGCCTGAACCAGCATCTGCACACGTGAAGGTGGGTCTCATTATCTCCAGTTTCTTTTTTTTTTTTTTAATTTCTTTTTTTTTAATGTTTTTTATTTATTTCTAGGAGAGAGAGAGATAGCGTGAGCAGGGGAGGGTCAGAGAGAGAGGGAGTCACAGACTGAAACAGGCTCCAGGCTCCGAGCTGGCAGTCAGCACAGAGCCCGACGCGGGGCTCGAACCCACGAACCGCGAGATCATGACCCGAGCGAAAGTCGGACGCTTAACCGACTAAGCCACCCAGGTGCCCCTCATTATCTCCAGTTTCTAACGAGGCCCCAGGGCTCAGAAAGGGTAAGGCCCTTGGCCAGGATCACAGAGCTGGTGTGCAGTGGGGCTGGGAGGTGACTCACGTCTGTCTGACTTTCAAAGAGCCTGTGCTTTCCAGGGCTACTGCCTGGCTCTCTGCTCAGCCCCCCATGGGAGCCCCTGCGGTAGAAGGTGCAGACAGAGCGTGGCAGCCAGGAGACGTGACCGCTGTCTCCCACAGCCATCTGGGTGGCACATGGCAAGGTGCTGGCTGGCTCTGGCTCTGGGACAATGAGGAGGACATTGGTCAGAAGATCTCTGAGGCCATGATCCAGTTTAGGGATTCCTGAGTTGTTAAAAAAAAGACTTTTCTCAAATGTTTCTGCCAAAGCACAGCTAAACAAAAGTTTTCCTCCTCGGCTAACTCTAATTAATTTTTTAAGTAATTTGTTTATGTTTATTTATTTATTTATTTTTAGAGAGAGAGCAAGCTGGGGAGGGGCAGAGGAGGGGAGGGGAGAGAGAGAATCCCTAGCAGGCTCTACACTATCAGTGCAGAGCCTGATGCAGGGCTTGAACTCATGAACCGTGAAATGAGATCATGACCAGAGCCAAAACCAAGAGTTGGATGCTTAACCAACAGAGCCCCTGCCCCCCGCCCCCAGGCTCCCCCTGCTAACTCTAGGTAAATAGGGAGAATGCAATCCTAGGATCCCACAGAAAACCAAAAATAAAACCAACGAAGCTGCCTTAAAGACATTAGTTTTGTTTTTAGGATTAATACTATGTGCTCTGGGGGCGCCTGGGTGGCTTCATCGGTTGAGCGTCTGACTTTCGCTTAGGTCATGATCTCGCGGTTCATGGGTTCGGGCCCCACGTCGGGCTCTGTGCTGACTGCCAGCTTAGAGCCTGGAGCCTGTTTCAGTCTGTGACTCCCTCTCTCTCTGACCCTCCCCTGCTCACACTGTCTCTCTCTCTCCTAGAAAAAAAAATACTATGTGCTCTGAAGTCTCACTCATGACTTTTGTTCCTCTGTGAAGTCTCATTTCTGTTTAAGCTGCTTTTTATCCGTGGCTCTGAATAACTCCCAGTGGGTGGCTTCACCCCTTCAGGAGGACACATACGCAGGCCTTGGGTAGTCTGGAGCCTAAGCTGGGATAAGAGACCTCCCGACTTCAGTAATTGAACATGACAGAAATGTATTTTTTGCTCACCTGTGGGCCCTCGGTGGGCGGTCCGTTCAGAGAGGTAGCTCTCTTCCACATCGCCGCTCGGGGATCCATCTCCTTCCTTCTCGGGGCTCCACCATGTCCCAGAGCCACACTGGGTTTGCATCCAGATGATGGAAGGGGAAAGAAGTGGAGGAACACAAGGTGAGGCTGCCTGGGCCGACCTCGCCCTGGAAAGGTCCTCCAGTCCTTCACGCACTTCGATGGGCTGCGACTTAGTCACATGGCCCGGGAGCCAGCTGGAGAATGGAGGCAGCTGTAGGTGGAGGAAGAAGGGGAGAATGGATTTCGGGGGACACCTGGCAATCTCACCTCTACTTGCAATCAGTGAGATTAAAGAACTTTACCCAGCAAGCCGGGCTGGCTGCCGGCATCAGCTCAGCCCTGGCCGCCGGGAGCTAACGGAATGCTGATTTCTACCGAATCTCCTGGCTCAAAGGCAACACTGAGCATGTTGTTTTTGGGCCCCTGTTGCGTGCAGGGTGTTAGGAATAAGAAGGCTCATGCTCATCCTTTTCATAGAATTGGCTCTAGGTCCATTGTTTACCTCTTAAGACAAACGAAACTGATCTTTTTTTTCTTTTTTTCTTATTGCAAAAGCAGATCATGCCTCTGTGGGAAATAAGGAAAGTATTTAAGAATTAAAGTAGGTAATAGAATTAATTGATCATACGTTCTGGGGGTATATATTTTTCCCGAATTTTCACGCACCAGTGCACGTGCACAGAGAAATGTGTTTGCAGACATGAAATCGTACAGTTAGGGGTGTTTTCCTCTCTTAGCTATTGTATCAGATACTGAAAAGTACAGAATTATCATTTTCAGTGATTCTGTAATGTTTCAGAGGTTGGACGGGTCTTAAGGGATTTAGCCATTGTCCCGTGGAACGTTTAGGTTGTTTCTGCTGAATTTTGCTTTAAAAACTTTGGAACTTGCCCGTTTTCCTAGGAGCGGGACTATCTGGGGTTCTGGCTGCCTCCCCCTTAGCCGGACGGGGGAGGGACCCGGGAGTGTGGGGCGGGGGGTGTAGAGGCGGGACCCCCTCTTGTCCCTGGGGTGTGTCCAGCACAGCCTGGACCGAGGGGGACCGCCCTGAGGCTGAGCAGGTGCATGGGGGGTGATCACTTGGCCAGGGCAGGTAGGTAAGCGTGCCGAAGGCTGGTCACCTCCGCTTTGCAGAAACTGGTGGCGGGAGGTGCAGGCGCAGCCGGCCAGACACTGTCCGCGGTGGTGAGCTGCCACCCCATGGAAACTCTTCAGAAGGGCACCCTGCTCCAGCGAAGCAGAGGTCACAGCTCAGGAGGATGCAGGCACGTGGTCTCTCACGTGCGGCAGGTGCCTGGACAGCTGTGGGTGCGGAGCACGTGAGTGAGGCCCGCGGGGACTGTCCCCAGGGGCGTGGCTCTTCATGGGCGTGTTGGTTTCCACAGTCCCCAGCTCAGTCCCTAGGTCAGGGGCAGTCAGCGAAGACAGCAGTCCCCTAGGGAATTTAGCATTTTGTGGGGTATAAATCTTTAGAGTGAACACTACGTTTTCAGAGTTCTATCTCGGCCGTTGTACTTTACAGAGAAGCCATCCCCTTCGCCTAACTCCACAAATGCCTTTCCTGGTAAGAGTCAGGACCAGGAGCTCAGCCTTTACCTAAATGCCTCTTCCTGCTTGGGGACACTCTGCAGATACACTCTGAGGTTTTATAATCAAAAGTTTCTGAAGGGTTGTGTTGGCCGGGGTATAGACTTTAATTTTTCTTAAAAAAAATTTTTTTTTTATCATTTATTTATTTCTGGAAGACAGAGAGAGACAGAGCAGAATGGGGGAGAGGCAGAGAGAGAGGGAGACACAGAATCAGAAGCAGGCTCCAGGCTCCCAGCTGTCAGCACAGAGCCCAACGCGGGGCTCGAACCTATAAACCCTGAGATCATGACCTGAGCCGAAGTCGGACGCTTAACCGACTGAGCCACCCAGGCGCCCCAGAACCTTTAATTTTTCTAGGTAAAGAAGTAATCCCTACCTTTTTAGCTGGTGCCATTTTATTTTTCTTATATTGCCCCATTTCTTTAAAACTTCATGGGGCGTGAATATAGAATATAGAAACATACACATTCTCCAGGAGCGTTAAAATTCTGACTTGAAAGTCCCTCGTGAACTGATGTTGTGACGCCAGTGAAGAGCCAGCCTGACCCAGAGTCTCTGATTTCGGGCCAGAGGGACTGATAGGATTTCGCCCTTGTTCTTTTATTGGAAGTCATGAGTTACTGGATTTCCGGTTGGTATTAAACATTAAAAATAAACTTTATCGTCAAAAAAGGATTTTGAGAGATGGAGAAAGGCCACCGAGGCGGGCTGGAAACCAGCAAATCGAGGGGCCTAAGGAGGACGTGCAAGTGTGAGGCTCGCTTTCACACACTGGCCTCTCTTCCTGCGGTGAGCCTCACAGCCAAGGTCCTTCGCACAGGAGTGTGCAGGAGAGCATGCACGCACATATGTGTGTGCACACACGCCTGTGAGAGAGTGCGTGTGTGTGCGGGTATGTGAGAGTGAAGGGGGATGTGTGAGTATATGTAGGTGTGTGTGCGTGTGCACAAGCTCATGTGAGGGTAAGAGCGGGAGTGTGTGCACATACACTCACGTGTGAGGCCTGTGTGTGTATGTGTGTGAAACATGTGAAGCAGGAGTGGCGAGTGTGTATGGGAGTGTGTGCGTGCATGTGCACACACCCGTGTGAGAATGTGTGTATGTGTTTATGTGTGCACACGCGTGTATGTGTGACATGTGTGAAGCAGGAGTGGCGAGTGTGTATGAGGGTGTGTAAGTGTGTGCGTGTGCACACACCCGTGTGAGAATGTGTGTATGTGTTGTGTGCACACCCGTGTATGTGTGACATGTGTGAAGCCGGTGTGGGTGAGTGCGTATGAGGATGTGTGTGTGCACGTGCACACACCCGTGAGAGAATGTGTGAGTGTGTATATGGAACATGTGTCGGGCACGAGTGTGCGGGTGTGCACGTGAGTGTGTGTGCATGTGTGACAGTAGTGGGGTTGCGTGCACACACAACTGTGGGAGTGTGTGGGTGTGTCTGCACACGTGTGCGTCAGGGGCAGAGACCAGTGTATTCGACCCTCACTCTCCTCCATCCAGGGAAGCACATCCTGGCGTCGGTAACTGCTTGCGAACTGGTAACAAGCCGCGCTAACTGGGCGGACTGTGGTGGGGGGGGTGGGGGGATGAGAGGAGGGGCGGAGTCGCCCCGCCCACGCTCTCCTCGTGTTCCAGAGCCTCCCGGGAGGCCTGGCGCACAGTAGGTGCGCACCGCGTGGTGACGTGCGCACGAGTGGTGACGTGCGCACCGCGGGTCAGCACATCCGTGCCCCCCGCTCCGGTCTCGGCGATTCGCAGGCAGTTGTCGGGCGGGGACGTAAGGACCCCCGCTAGTTGGTGGGCGAGGAGCCCGCACCACCAGGACCGGCTCTGCCACCGGCCCGCGTGCAGGAGGGACAGCCGGCCACCCTGGGACGTGGGCACAGAATTCACAACATTCTCAAGAGGCCACGGGGGGGGGGGGTCAGCTTCCCCTTTAAAATGTCCAATGAGGGGCGCCTGGGGGGCTCGGTCGGTTAAGCGTCTGACTTCGGCTCAGGCCATGATCTCGCGGTCCGTGGGTTCGAGCCCCGCGTCGGGCTCTGTGCCGACAGCCCGGAGCCTGGGGCTGCTTCGGACTCTGTGTCTCCCTCTCTCCGCCCCTCCCCTGCTTGTGCTCTATTTCTCTCTCTAAATAAAAAAACATTTAACAGAAACGAAAAAGCCCATCGCGGAAGCTTCCAGGAGCGTGTGTAGCCGCCTCAGCACCCCTCCCGGGCCCCCTCTCCTGTGCAGGCTGGTCTGGGAGACCAGACGAGCTGCCTGGCGCCTCGGCTGCCCCATCGCCCCCCGCCCCGCCCCCCCGACGCCCATCTGCCGACCCCTCCCCCCGCAGGTTCGCCAAGCTGCTGCTGCGCCTCCCAGCCCTGCGCTCCATCGGCCTCAAGTGCTTGGAGCACCTGTTCTTCTTCAAGCTCATCGGGGACACGCCCATCGACACCTTCCTCATGGAGATGCTGGAGACCCCGCTGCAGATCACCTGAGCGCCCGCCTCACCAACCCGGGACTACCCCTGGGCGGGTGTGCGTGCCCCCTCCCCCCGTCCCCACCCTGCACACGCTCCTCCGCCTCCCGCCCCGCCCCCTCCCGTTCCCAAAATGTGATGCTTACAATAAAGAAACCTTTCTACACGCGCGACTTTTATAGGTGGTTTTGTACAGGTGTTAAAGGAAACCCTTCTTTGCAATCCGAGGGGCTGGGGATCTTTCTGGAAGTTCTTGGAGAAACTCGCCAAGCCTCTGTACATATAATTGGTTTAAATTATTTTTTCACTTGCCGTGGAAAGCAAACGAGCGAATAATAAAATAATATATATGATGTTGGCATCGCCTGGAGCACGGGCTGTGTTATTGTGCTGGGGGTGGGGGCTGTCTCAGCTGCGGGAAGAACGTTGTTGGGGGGCCGGGGCTGAGGATTGGGGGCGTCCTGAGACAGTCAATCCCACAGTTAGGCAGCCTGAGCAAAGCTGTGCACGGCCACCGTAGACTCAGCACAGCCCCTGGCGACAGCGGGAGGAAGCATTGTCTGAGCGTCAGCTGGTTTGGTTTTTATCTTCTTCCTCCTAAGGACAATGAGTACAAACAGCCCCGTCCTGTTCAGGAGCAAGTGAGCGTTAAGGCCAAGAGAAGATGTTCTCCTGATGGAGGAAGGTTCTTGGATCCTGGGCGCTGACGGGAGGTAGTAACAAAGAAAAGGAATTTTCTGTTGTTCGCTGGCAACATTAGCAACAGGACCAGAGCACATCTAATTTGTTTTCCATCATTAGCTGACCCTACATAGCCTGTTCTTAAAAGGGAAAGAGAAAATCTCTCCCAGCATCTAGCCTATGATTTCTTCATGGTCCTAGGGTCCCAACTGTCTCCTGGACAGGGAGCTCCTTGATGGCAGAGGCTATGTCTGATACCACAGCTAGGCTCTCTCTCTCTCTCTCTCTCTCTCTCTCTCTCTCTCTCTCTATATATATATATATATATATATATGTCACCTTCCTGCCATCTGGAGGACTAGGACTTAATGGATACACAAATCTATGCTATGCTTTACATGACACCTGCTAAGGGTTGTATGGTGTACAACATGAACAACTGCACATGGCAGGCCTACTTACCTTCTCTGTACACTAGAAACTGACCCAGGGCCTTGCACACAGCAGACACATAGTAAATGTGTGTTATTGAATTGGGGTCCATGTAACTGGAAAGAACTTCCTAACGGGCACTGTGGGTGATAGCTGCCTCATTCCCCATCAACTTGTCCTCCCAGAAGACCCTAGGGCTAACTGTCCAGTCCAAAGACATCCATCAGTGGTCATACAATTTTGAAAAATTAGCTTTGTTTATTCCTGGGGAAAGTTTAGGGATCCCGTATCCCTGGACATTAAGCAATGGAATTAAAATCTTAACTATGCTGTGCTTTCCCCCGCTTTTCTTTTTTATCTACATTATCTGTGAAGCATGATGAAAATGACTGGGGTTGTGGGGAGACTAAGATTTAACTGTAGGCTCCCTGACCCCCCGCTTCGGCCAGCATAGCTCACTGGAGACGTTCAGCGGCGTGTGCCTTCCGGGGGAACTCACCGTGGCCGCCATTCATGGTCCACCATTCATGGTGCCGCGTCGTCTTCATCTTTGATTTTTTCCGCAAAGGACCCTGGCTGTTGCCTGGAGCAGAGCACAGCCTGATGAGGGCCCAGTGGGGTGTCACGCACATGCCGGGCAGTGTCTCTCTGAACTGCCGCCACAGACATTGAACTTGGCCAGAGATGAGTAGGTGTCTCTTCCCAGGCTGGCTCCATGACATGTGGGGCCTCGAAGGCCACCTCCTTCCTGACCCCAGCCCCCTCACACTCCAAGATGTGCAGCTGAGTGGATGTTCGATCTTCCTTAAGGCTCGGGAGCCGCAAGAGGCGTCCCCAGAGAGAAACCTCTCCTGCCTCCACTTACCTCACCGAGCAGAGGGGTCCCCATTGAGCCATCAGTGCCCACTAGTGTTTCCCGAGCGCCGCACCCCAGGCTGATGACACAGGTAACAAAATCAAGGGACTGAAGGTTTAGCGGTGTCTGAAGGGATTGTCACAACGGGGGAGGCCTTGTGGGTAGAGGCCTCCGTGGGCACAGGCCAGCATCCCTGAAACAAAGAGGCCTCTGGCCCCGAACGTCCACAGGGCCGAGACTAAGAAACTCTGCTCTAAAGCTTCACTAATGGATCAGAAACTCAAATGGCTCTTTCCTGTTGTTTCAGAATTTTGGCTAAAGCCCCAGGGTGAGGCCAGGAAGCTCCCGCGTGTTTGTTCTAGAAGAGTTACGAGATGCACCCACACGACCTTATGAAGATAGGAGAACTGATTCTGTCACTTTTACCTTATATTTCTCCTTGAGTCCATATTCACAGAAGACCGACATTCAAGAGGGACGTTCCTGAGAAGGAGGGGTACCTGGGGGGCAGTGCTGTGGCTTTCACCCTCTCCTCTGGGTCGAGGGGGCCACCCCCTTTCCCAACTCGAATGAGGAGCACAAAAGATCCCTCCCTGGGCCTGGACCTCTAGGAAGGGGGTACTTACAGGAAGGGAGGCCGCCCCCTCCTCCAGACTGGCTGCTTGGAAAGTGCCAGAAAGAGCAGGTCGCCCTGATGGGAGTGAGCGACTCGGGGATACTTGCGAGCGTAGAGGCCGAAGCCTTCCTCTTGACGGGAGGGCTCAGGAATCCACCTTGAGGGTGACATAGCACAACGGAGAGGGGGCAGCGGTTCGCACTCCCCCCCCTGCACTTGGTCTGGTCGGGATGTGGCATCTTCCGTGAGCCAAATTAATACTCTGCGAGGTAGTTGTGCTTAGAATATCCCGAAGGCGCCAAGGTCAAGAGAACACCTGTCAAGGCAAAGGGGGGGGGGGGGAGCAGCCGCAAGAGGTTGAGCTATTGTGGGCAGTGACTAAGGGGTCAGAGGGGAAGCTACGAAAGCTTCTATAAGACTTTTGCTGCGATGCTATTTTCCTTGGGAAGCCCTGTTTTACATTCGTCTTCAGAGGGGCTTCAGAGCCCACCTGGGAACAACGATCTCACGGTCCTGCCTTAAAAGCTCCTCTAGTAACAAGGACAGGAGCTACCAGGTGACCCAGATTCACAGCCCACCCCCACCTACCCCCAAACCTCCTGGGCTCGCAACTTTCACACCCACCTCCCCAGCTTTATTCCATCTCTTTAGTAGATGAGGCTCCGAACGATTCTTGGCTGTTTCCACAAATGAAATCTACCCCCGAGGGTGAGAATTTGCCACGGCCACTGCTGTAATCCCAAAGACCGGGGTTCAGCCTCTGAAGGGTCCTTCCCCCCAAATGATCTCAGGGCTTCAGGCAATAAACCAGTAATGTCTTTCCCCCTTGGAGGAAGATTGGGGGTTCCTCCCCCCATGGGATGAATTTACGGCGACACCGGGAGGGACTGAGTGGCCGGTGCCGTGGAAAGCACGCCCCTCCCCCGGAGGCCAGCCTGCAGGGTGGCTCTGGGGACCCAGCCTCTGCAGGTTTGAAGGAGAGGACTGGGTCACCAACCTTCCCACCCGGGGAAGGGCAGCCTTCGCCCCGTTCCGTGGGGGAAACAAACAAACTCCACGGAAATGTGTCCCGACCACACTGAAGTGGGGGTGGGGGTGGAGGTGGGGGAGGGGCCAGGCCCCCAGGGGCAGCCCCCTCGCGGTCCCTGCAGCTGCTGGGACGCTTTCGACCCGCCCGGCCCCAGCGGGAAGCTTGGTGCCAGGATTGTGAGGCGCGGGCGCCCCCTGCTGCCAGCTCGGAGCATCACACCTTCCTGGGAGCGCGGAGGCCAGGGAGTCTGGTACGGATGGAATTTTCAAAATGGAAAAAAAAAAAAAAAAAAGGAAGAAGAGTTTGAAAAATGAGACTCAAATAGACTCAGAAGGTCAAATATGCCCCCAGGCAGATACTCGGTGGCGCTTTGCGTTTCTGGAGATATGGGCTAACAGGAGGAATCTCAGAGGACAGCATGGAGAACTCATGGGCGAAAGGCTTAGAGGCAGCAGCGGGTCTAAGCCGGGAAGGACCACCTCTCTCGAAGCTGCCAGTCCCTCACTAGCTACACACTAGCTAGATGACACCTGCCACTGGCCCGTCACCAACATCACACAGGCGGCCGAAGGGTGACTAACGCCCCAGCAGGGTGGTTCAGAGCCGTCACCACCAGGTGTGACGGCAGATTCTCCCTGGGCGGTGCTGCCCGTTAGCCTGCTTTCTCAGAGGCACAGCGGGGCCTTGTGAGAGCGCCTGCCTGTGCAGTTTCAACGGGACCGGGTTTCAGGGAAATGTTCCGTTCTTCTTTGCTTGTAAAGGCTGTGAGCCAGTTGCACTGAGGCTATGAGCCAGTTGCACTGCAAACTGTAAAAGTGCTGGGTCAGCCCTTCCCGAGTTCATAGAGCCAGATACGGCGTTCACAGCAGGTGAGGTCGCCGCACACTTGTTACCTGGTGGAAAGAGTAGAGGAAGAGGAGTCAGGGGCCTGGGGTCCTCTGCTGGTTATGCAAAGGCACCTCGTCTGACCCTGGACAGGTCCCTGGGCTCCTCAGGGCTCCAAAGCCCTGTCAGCAAAGTCAAAGGTGCTGACTACATGATCTGAGTTCCCCTCCACCTCACTGAGTCGGTTGTGTCATTTAGAAATTGATTGATACCCGATTCCATGACCTTCCGCACGCTGGGACACCCTGACCGCGCAGTACTGATTCCAGAGAAAACCCCGAAAGATCCTATTCCTTAGAAAACTCAGAATCTGAAGGGCAAAACAGGTTAATCGTTGTTAAAGTATCAGCTGAGCAGTTGCTATGGGTTTAGAGTTCTGTTAAATGACAGAGATGGGAAGTTCCGGGGAGAGACCTGACCATCCAAGGCATCTCTTTGGCTTATTTTTTCCCCCTTTATTTTCTCTCTCAGATCAAAATCTTCCCCAAAGTACCCACTTCTCATGTATTTCTAGTAGGT